ATTATTATCATCTTCACACAAGCAAGTCTACTTCTTTCTTTGCTATATGTATGTGAAACTAAGCCTCCCTTATCAAATGAAATAACCTTTTGTTTGTTGTCTTCTTTCAATGGAGAATCTCTCCCTCCCCCCTCCCGGTGCATTGAACTTTCAAATGTTGCAAAGAAGCTCTAGGTCCTATATCACTCCCCGGTTCAACTGTGTCCTTAGTAAAATGCTTCCAAACCTCCAATGCTTTCCTAACGAGTATTCACTTCTTAGGAATTGGGGGAAGTGTAGATGTTCCCCCTTGAACTAATGGCTCAGTGGTAGCAGTGGTAGGTATAGGACTAGGACTTTCATTTGGGTCGGTCAGAGATGTGTCAATGGCAGGGGTTTGAGAACTTTCTTCCATACTTTGTCTTTTCAAGCCTGTAGACAGATTTACGCAATGAAAAGATTCATAAACACAAGATAAATACATACACAAATTTTCACTTTTTCCTACAAACATTGAAAAAAAAAAGCAGAGAGAATAGTAGAGAAAGTAAGAGGAAAATAATATCAACTTGTGATAACTCATATTACAAGTTTATATTAAACATTATTAACAGATAATTGAACTGTGTTATTACTCAGATTTGTACATTGATTACATATGCAAAAGAAGTTGTGATGGTTTTCAAACATATATTTGTTATTTCTAATTTGTTAATAGTAATCTTGAAGAAACTTAAGATGATTTGTATTTTGGGTCCACAAAATTATATTATAAAAAAATATATAATTCTATTGTTAAAAAAGTCTAAAATTATCCTACAAGACAGACTACCCAAACAAAAGCCCAATCCCACCTTCCCTTGCTCTACTCTCTCTCTCTCTCTCTCTCTCTCTCTCCCTATATATATATATACAGTTTTAATCCCATTGTATGTCCATGGATAGACGGAATTTTCTTCTTAGCAAGATAGTAACTGCATTTACAACAACATGTTTGCAACAATACCATTAGAATAGCTAAAACTATGGATGAGAAACTCCAAATGCACAGTGCTGATGATGTATAAACTAAAAAACAAAAAGTAAAACTTAACATCTGCATTTTACTTTGTAACGACACCATGTGGTATGCACTTAGACAAAGGCTAGCTCAAGTTGAAGAGAAAAAGTAGATATTTAGAAGCTAGCTCAGGTCTAGACCTTGCATAATTTAGAGAAGTCCATGGAACCTCTGCCATTCAGAACAGAGCCCTGACAGTAATCTCAGCAATATGGTTCACTTATTTTATCCATTTCTAACACACTAGACATGATTATCACTATTGGTACAGTACAATCATTTTTAATTTGAAGTGGAAAATCAGAAAAGGAAAAATCTCAGACAAGAAAGCTAAAAATCCATTGCTGTGTTGCACAGATATGTTACAAGATATGCAAAACAATACGACGATATGACAAGTATAAAAGATTAGCAGATACAGGGATAAGACAATAAAGAAATATATAGTTAAATATTAATTGTTTATTTTTATTTAACATTTGAAACTAGCAATCAGATCTCGCTTTTATAGAAGCAATTCCAAACAACCCATTTTTTTTCTAGAAAAAATTACCCTCACCCTTTGTTCTTGGAAACAAAAATACAAATTAACCCCTCATGTATCTCTTACATATCCATCATTGTATCCATGTAGTCAATTAGATACGAATTCATCGTATCTGTTGCATTTGGAGACATACCGTGGATCAAGAAAGAGAACCAAAAACAAAAAAACAGAGAGAGAGAGAGAGAGAGAGAGAGATCAACTGAGATTAAAATACACATGATATAGCTGCAGCATTAGCAAGACTCGACTAAGATTATCTGAACCCCACCACCTTCAAATTCGTGAACCAGAGACCATCTCTCATCTCTGTTTGAGAAATTAAAGCCTGAGACTGAGAAAGGGGACTCATCTGAGTTCTTATGAAAGAAAAGCACTCCAGAAAAAAAAAATATCTATATGAATAGACAACCAGCATAATGCAAACAGAGCAACAACTAATAAACAAATTGAAACAATATAACAGGTAAATCATAAAGAACATAGAAAAGTGATATGTTCATAATTTCACATGATTTTATATCCTTTTTACTTAGTTTTGTGAATTCATTTGGACTAAAGAAGCTGAGTTTAGTTATTTCCTGGTTTTTCAGCTTATGAGCCACGAAATGTATAAATTCGCCAAATATTCATCGTAATCTAATTGGAGATGGAAGATAGCATCTTGAAGTTTATCCATGAATATTTTCATAATTTTTGAAGACTGCTAAGGTGCCCATTTCTAATTAGACAACTCAGCATAAACCAATTCCCGGAGAATACTGAGTCAGCAGGGATATTTTGGCCATAACTCACTCATACGACATTGGATTGAGGCACACGATATATGGCTGAAAAGAAGACATCCAGAGCTTTCCAAAGAGTGGTCTTAAGTAATCTTTGGAGTTCAAAAAGGTGTCCAAATCACATTCGCAATGAGGATCACGTGCAGTTTCCTGGAGGTTTTAGGAAACTTAGTTTTAATTACCTTTTCTAGTTAGGAACTGACTTGGAAACCAAGTCTTCGTGTAAGGCCACTTGTTTAGGCCCATTCTAACTAGGTTTTAGGTTCTTTTAAGAGGGGAGATCGTGGGGGCTCAAGGGACACACCAGAAATTTCAAACTTCAACCGTGGAGCAAGGAAGAGCGACCGTGTGCCTCTAAACTCTAAGGGTTTTTCTTACCTCTTTCTCCCTGTTTTATTTTTGCTTTGTTACCATGATTATGAGTAAATAATTTTCTTTTACTAAGACACAATGTAACCCTTTTCTAATTATTCAAAGCCTAGTTATGTCATGCTATTAGAATTTCCTATTGTTGAAATTATATCACTGTGCTTATTTTCTTAACTAATGATCTTGATGCTTAGCTACCATCTAGGTTTTTGGTTAAGTAATTTGGTTCATGTTAGGGTATAAGCCATGCCTAATATGAATTTTGCTTCTTGTGATTAAATTCATGAATGCGCCTAAGGTAAACACCATACTCTTGGGGGTTTGTGTGACTGTGTGAAGTACTCATTGAACCTAAGGTCTTTTTATATGTTTATATTTATGCATCACGCCAGGATAAATTGTGTGTAAGAATAAGTGGTAATTGCTGTGAAAAGAGTTAATCATAATTTTGGAGAACTAATCATCAACATAACCTGGGAATTTTGATAGCATGCATGCTAAGGTTTGGATAAGAAGAATTGTGGTGAAATTGTTGTCTTGGTAAGCTTCTTTAAAATCTTTCACAAACTTATTTAGTTCACGTTTTTCTTTGTTATCTTGTCTTTTAATTTTCTTGTTTTCAACGTTCTTTTAAAGAAAATCTTTTAAAACTCCTCTATTAAGTTTTAGTTGAGTCGTTAGTTTTAAGTTTATTAATTAGGGTGTCTAGAGTAATTTAGGATTTAAATTAGTTTATAATTCACAACAACTTGAGAATTTATTCAGTCTCTATGGGAACGACCTTGTACTTGCCTTGGCTATATTGTATTAACCTTGTGCGCTTGCAAGTTTATTTCTTGAATTTAACTATCTAATTTTCAGGTAGTAAAAATACATAAAAAAAGAAAAGAAATTTCAGAGAAACTGTTGCAAAGGCCTTGGTGGCTTTGGAGGTTTTGTTGCAGAAGGAGCAAGCTTAGGGTTTTGATGGGTTTGATCTGAAAGAGCTGGAGATCGATGAGAGAGTATAAGTAAAAGGATACTAGGGATTTGAAATAGCAAAAGCCCCAAATCCCTTATTGAAACTCTCACTGACCACGACGGCACAACAATATGGCAAGCTCAGAAACCTTGAGTAAAGTCGCAATGGAGCAGACAACGTTATCGATCACGACTTGCAAAGCAAAAGAAGCGAATGGTCAAGAGAGAAACGCATAGCAGAAAGAGAAAGACAGATGAAGAGAGAGATCTGTGACGATGAGGGAGGAAGAGAGATGAGGAAAATTCAGAGGGACTGTTTAAGAGAGTTGAGAGCGCTGCGAAAATTTGGGGAGGGAATGTTTTTGAGTTGGGAGGAAATCTGAAAATTTGCGAACTCACTTCAGGAGCCTAGCATGTTTTAAAAGACGACCTTTGTAATTTATAAATGTCGTCTTTTAAAACACAATTCTATTTTAGTGGTGTATAAAATGGTATATCAATTTTATAATTAAGAGGGCCTCCAAACCAAATCAATTCAACCCACGGGCAGAAGAGGAACAAATGCTCAATAGATTCCTCATGAGCTTGGCATATAGGACATAATGAGGTTCAAGCAATTTTGTGTTTGTGGAGAGCCATCGCCGTAGGCAACCTACCATGAGTCGCACGCCATAGAAAATATTTTATCTTTAGCAGGACCTCAGCTTTCCAAATATTTTTCCATACCAAGGGGTCAATCCATGATGAGGTGGAGGCTTTCCTGGCGGTGGTCTCAACCTGCAGGGCATGGATGCAATGATACCGGGACCGCACTAAAAATTTGCCGTTCTTTTCCCCAGGCCACACTAACTTGTTGTCCTCCCTTCCATTCCCTATAGGGATAAGCTGGATAGCAAGCTTCTCCTCGTCAGTAATTGAAGCTTGAATCGGGGTTAAATTCCAAGTTTTAGAATCACAATCAATTAAAGTTACCACCCTAGTGTTAGGATCAACTGAGGCTTGTAAGTGGGGGTGGAGTTTACCATCGTGAAGGGAGGGAATCCAACAGTCTGTCCAAAGCTTTGCTTGTCTGCCATTTAGAATTTGCCACCGAGCTCCCTGGAGAATGATCTTTCTTCCCTCAAGCAAGCTTGCCCAAGCCCAGGAAGCACGGCCGCCTTTCTTTGCCTCTAAAAAACTACACTTCAGGAAATAACGAGCCTTCAAGAGTTGAGCCCATTGGGAATTTGGCTCCATGAATAATCTCCAAAAAACTACATTCCGGGAAATTACCACCTTTGACCAATGGTTGCTGAAATGTACCATGGATGGGATCCAAACTGAGGAAAAAAGACGTATATCATGCATTATTGCTGTTACTTGCTGGATTATTTGGAAAACAAGGAATCGTTTTGTTTTTTATCAATGCAAACCACAACCTCTTTTGGCCATCAAAACCATTCTTTCTCAAGTGAAGGAGCTAGTTGCATTGAATAACATAAGGAGTGTGAGGAGGTTTTGTGAAGGACCCTCTACAAATCCTACCTCTTGGACCTCACCAAATGCCCATGTTATTAAAGTTAACTTTGATGCTGCTTGGTTGGCATCCTCTGGCAAAGCTGGAGCTGGTCTTATTGCACGAAATGCCAATGGTGAGTTCGTGGGAGCAAAATGCCTATCTTTTCACCCGGAATTTGCGATCATGGCTGAGGCAACTGCTGGTTTGGAAGGTTGCAAATGGGCAGCTGAGTTGGGCTTATCTGAGGTTTTCTTTGAATCTGACTCCAAAGAACTGATTGAGAGTGTGAGAGGAAACATAAAGCGTGGAAGATGAAATCTATACTCACTTCTATCAAGGATTCGTGAATGCAACTCCAACTTCTCAAACTGTAACTGGGCATGGACCGATAGGAAAAACAATGAAGTGGCAGATCACCTTGCGTCGCTAGCACTATCGAGGTCGAGTCAGGAAGTCTGGGTATCCAGGCCCCCCACCTCTCTTGTGCTTATCTTAAGTCGAGATGGCCTTCCCTGCCTCCTCCAGCCTCCACATAGCTTGCGCTGTTCAAGATGGCCATGACTCTGATTCTGGATTGTCGTACCACTCCTATACCATGGGGCTCTTTCTTGTAGCAGCTTGTATGAGTTTATTTGAGTATATTGCTTTGCATGCACTTCTATTCAATCGCATGGCTCTGTTTCTCCTATTTCTTTGAGTTGTAATCTATTTTGGATTTGCTCTCCTGTTAATGAAAGTTCTTATTGACCAAAAAAAAAAAAAGAATATGCCATATCACGACGCTTTTGTAACGTCATCTTTTAAAACACGATAGTTTTAAACTACATCGTTGTCTATTTTGTGTTGTGGTTTTACAATTTTGTAGTAGTTTACACTACTACAAAAAAGGAAAAACACGACGGGAATTCACCGTCGTGTATTCTGTTTTCAAATGGTCGTGGAATCCACCGACATCTTTTCATAACAAAACCACGACGGTGAATAACCGTCGTTGTTAAAACAAAAAACGTCATCAAAATAGTCGAGGATGAGAATAGACGAGGATGAGAATAGACGACCAACTCCAACGAAAAAGCTCATAAAAAACAGTCGAGGATGAGAATAGACGACCAACTCCAACAAAAAAAACGTCGTTAAAAAGGAAACAGATGACAAATATAAATACGACGTCTTTACAATCATAATAGACGACGTTATTGACACCTACTACGTCACAACATTTCCCACAACCGTCGTAAAATAAATTTTCCACTTCGATTTTTTATGAATTATGACGTGGAAATAGATGTCAGGTTCATTAATTACGACGTATGTATTTACTTAGACGACGTTGAAATGAATAAACAACGTCGGTTCCAAATAAATGAGAGCCGTATTACAGAATTTATACGTCATATTTTGAAAATAAACGACGTGGAAAAAATGATGGGGTCATTAATTACGACACAGTAATATATAAGGACGACGTTGTCGTCTATATACAACGTCGGTACCATGAAAAATATCGTCGTCTTTAATAATTTATACGTCTTTATTAATAAAACTGACGTCGTCTAATTCATATATCTTAACGTCGACAAATTTAATGAAATTCAAATACCGTCGTAAAATATATTTTCCACTTCGATTTTTCTAGGAATTCTGAAGTGGAAATAGATGTCAAGGTCGTTACTTACGACGCATGTATTTACAGAGACAACGTTGAAATGAGTAAACAACGTCGGTTCCAAATAAATGAGAGCCGTATTACAGAATTTATACGTCATATTTTGAAAATAAACGACGTGGAAAAAATGATGGGGTCATTAATTACGACACAGTAATTTATAAGGACGA